TAGGATCTGCATTAATTTGGTCCAGTTTACCCAGTCAAATGCCTTCTGCCAGTCTATGAAGCAAACACACAGTTCTTCATCTATCTCCAAAGTTCGTTCCGCTATAATTCTCATCATCCCAATTGCATCCCTGGTTCCTTTTCCTCTTCTAAATCCAAACTGATCTTCTCCAAGTACATCCTCTATTTTCCTTTCAATTCTTCTTTTAAGTATCTTTGCTATTATCTTTGCTGTATGTGCAATAAGGCTTATTGTGCGATGGTCGCTGCATTTTGTAGCTTTTGTCTTTTTCTTTAAGGCAATCATTGTAACTTCTGTAAAGTCCTTGGGCCACTCTCCACTTTCATATATGGTGTTCATTCATTACTCATATGTGTCACAAAATTTATCAGTGTTGAAGGACATCAGTCTCAGCATCTACTGTTGTATGAGTGAGAATGAAATGGTTTTACTGATGGTATTCTTGAATCATGGAGGAAACCTCCATTAAATCATGTGATACAAGTCAGTTCCCTATTGGAAAGAAACCAAACACTGACTGTCATCTTTCTATCTGAATATGTACTAGGAAGGCAACAAATGAAGGATAACAACAAGTAGTCCTCCCCCCCCCCCGCCTTCCAGCCAGCACTGCTGCTGCCACCAACAACAGCAGCAGGAACTGTTCTTGTCGTTATCATGGTGGTTACTATTGTCATCAGCAGCCTACAGTACCTAGCAGAGGTTGACAGTGCAGTGCTGACTGAAACATCAATGTTAATTGCTGCCATCTTCTAGTCTTGCCATAGTTAAATAGGATTAGTTTTGCATTTAGATTCCATGGAAATTACAGTAACAAACCAGTGAACATTATGACATAGACTGCCCTGCTGAGACTAATTATATGTAGATATATCATAAAATGCTGAGGTGTGAAGCTGCTTATCCCACTATACCAAATTAGAATAAGTAACTACAGTTACTCATTGTATGTGAGTATGAAAAATGAAGTTTCATTTGAATGTGATAAGATAATTTAGACTAATTTCAATTAATAGCACTCACTTTTAATGCAAATTGCTTGGTGACCGATCAAGAAAGGCATAGAAGGGGGAAGAGTTTATTGTGTAGGTTTGTGGGGAAGGAAGGAAAATTATGTTCAATTTATGCAACTTTATCCCTTGCAGCATCTTTTTATGGAACATTAATTAAGGAATACCTGTACAGTACACCCATTCCCTGTGCTCTTATTTACAGATTGCCTTGGATACTTCATACTGGACAGTATTTAATCACATCATGATTTGGGGTTCATTAATCTGGTACTTTGTGCTCCAGTACTTCTACAATTATATCATAGGTGGCCGCTATGTTGGCTCTCTCAGCAAGGTAAGTACATATGTTTCTATTCTTGGACAGTATATTTTAACATTAATATTGTATGTGTTGTAAAAGATGGTGCATATATGCTGGAGCCCATAAGAAGATGGAAGGATCCACAGAAATTATTACAAAATTTGTAAAATTATAATGAAAATCAATGCTACTTTTCAGCTGCTGGCAATAACCAAATATCTGAATCTGTAGGATAATTTTTACATTTACCTCACATAATTTTATATCTGAAGATACCAGTGAATTATTAAAGGAGAAAATAAAAATTGGTCATATAGGCCAGGTAATATGAATGAAAACTGTATACTGATCTTAACTTCTCATTAATGATGTACCATAGATGTTATGGACTTAAAATGGTTTTAATATCATGTCAGAGGAAGTTCTGAAACCTGTCATGATAACATTGATCAGAGGATCAATCCTCATCAGAGGATAGCAGTGTTAGTTCACGTCTGTAATAAGACAATAATTACCATGGCTGGAAACATTCTTAGCAACTTGAAACGGTCACAGCAGTGAAGATCACTATCTTCTGTAGTATGGTAGGATGTTTTGGAGTCTCAGCATGCTTGTTTGGTTTACCCTTTGACCCTGAAAATTGAAACAGTACTTTCCTCTGAAACCTCCTACCAGACTTCATGGCATAACATCCGAGAAGACAAGAACTGTTTTAAGTTCAGTTTTCTGGTTTTATAGTCACAGGTTAGGTTACATCATCACTCAGAAGAATAAAAATCTGAACAGTGGTGTTTCAGGTTTCAGGTTTGGCTGTATTTGTAATTCTTCTAGCAACCTCTGTTATCAGCCCCATCACATATCATGACTCTTACAGTCTTATAACATGTAGAAAATGCATGCAAAACCTGTGTTACTAGTGGTTTATTTTGTTTAGCTTGCTGGTAGACACTTGCTAATTTGTGCATTTCTTTTTAAATTTCAGGCAATGTCTGAGGCAACATTCTGGTTCACAACTGTTGTAACAGTGATAATTTTAATGATACCAGTTTTGGCATGGAGGTTTTATTTTATAGATGTACGTCCCACACTTTCCGACAGAGTGCGCCTCAAACAGAGGCTAGCTCTACTCAGGTATGTTCAAAGTTTTCTTTTTTTATCTGTTATAGTACCAAGCTCAGTTTGGCCAGTATAAGAGAGTGACAGCTTTGATTCACTCACTCTCCCATATTTGATGTTTTGAAATGTTGCGCCCAACTGCTCACAAGCATAGAGACAAGAAACAGTGCTAGCTCTAACAGTAAACTGCCAGTTATCTGGAATGTGTGGGGAATCAGTTGTGCTATTTAATGAAGCTGTGGGCCTCATGAAAGAAACTCTTAAAGAAGCTGAAACAGAAGTCAAAACAACATATTTTCACTTTACCTCTTGCATGGGAGTCATCCTAGATTACATAGGAGGGTGATGGATGAAAGAGTTCACATATACTATAGTGCAATTACAGATTTAGCTAGCCTTTACTGTAATGTGACCTGCATGGGGAGGATGATGGACAATGCTGATAGTGGCAGCTGGGACATATGTGCCATCAAATCCCGTTTTTCAAGTAACTTTATAAGAATGGTCAGTTTTCTTTGAAATGTTTGCCAGTTGCATGAGAATTCTGAATGCTTGGATATTGCATGATGAGATGTTAACCATATTTATGATAGGAAATCCAGGTATGTTTCCATGCTGGCTGTCACTAATGGGTTAGCACTGTCATTTATGTTGAACACAAGATATGTAAAAAATTACATAATCAGCATTTATCTGGGCTTGTGATTTATTGTACTAAGGTATTCATTCACTCAGACAAAAGAAATTAATCAAAAGGGACTTGAAGAATAATTAAAGAAACTCAAATAAAAGTTGTGACTATAGTTGAAGAGTTATCATGATTTAGTTACTGGGTGTGGGGTTTGGATTAATAACTGGGTTTATTGAACACTTATAAGAGTTTTATGCATCTGCATCCTCTACACATCACTATAGCACATGCTGAGTCTCTGTTATGTAGTGTGGTGAAAATCAGCCCACGTTTTAGAGGAAGATATTGCCTCCATATTCAAAGTCAAAGATTACTCCAAGGAACAAACTTATATGAACAGGTGGCAAGTAGGCTCTGGTTTGTTGCTTGGCTTACTCTTACCCTGAAAATGGAGGCAATATGTTACTCTGAAACATCAGTTGACTTTGATCAGATTATGTAGTGTTATATTCCAGAAGATATAACTCTTGATTGAGTTGAATTTGAGCTTCATATAAAGTAATGTTAAATTTTCCCAGTATGAACTAAAAAAAAAAAAATTGGGCTCGGTGACTNTTCGAAATGTGGTGTTGGAGAAGAATGGAGAAGATCAGTTGGACCGATTATGTGAGAAATGAAGAAGTGTTAATTAGAGTCAGTGAGCAGAGGAATATCCTACATGAAATAAGAAAACGGAAGGCTAATTGGATTGGTCATGTTTTACGCAGAAACTGCCTTCTAAAAGAAGCTATCGAAGGAAAGATAGATGGGCGGATAGAAGTGACAAGAAGACGAGGAAGAAGACGTAAGAAGATGCTGGATGACCTTGGGGACAGAAGAGGGTACTGTCATTTGAAGGAGAAAGCTCTAGATCGCATTAAGTGGAGGAATTGTTTTGAAAGAGACTGTGGACCTGTCGTCTTGACAGATTACTGATGATGATGATGAACTAAAATTAAAACTGACTAAAACTTTTAGTGTAAGCTCCTAGATCACATTTAACATGAGAAAACTTAAAAAAAAAAGTGTTAATTTTTACACTTGTATTTATTTGTATTTAATATAAAATTAATATTTTTGCTTTGATATGTGTGTCCATTTTTGAGCCCATCTTTCAACTTCACGCACTGCACAGACAAACAAAAACATTGATATTAAAGTGAAAATCTTCATGATCTCTCATGTTCAGGATATTGCTTTGTACTTGGTGAATGCCAGCAATTTCTGTGGCATAAAAATGTCATAAAAATATTCTTTTCCAAAATATGACATCACATAGAAGCTAACATTTTTCTTTATGTTTATCAGGTCTCGACAGTCTCAGGATGTTCTGCGCACACCATCTGCAAGACGAACAAGACGCTCAATACGCTCTGGCTATGCCTTTGCACACCAGGAAGGTTTTGGACGTCTCATCACGTCTGGCAAAATTATGCGCAAGCTGCCACGTCCCAATGGTGGTGACTTCTTTTTCCCTTCTTTCAACAGTCATGGAAGTGGACCTTCAAATAGTGGGCACACCACAACAACCACACTGGATATTGGCACGAACTGAGTCATGCTTTTTAGCCATGTTGAAGTCATGGTTGATCCAGCTGAAGCGAAAGATGGGGATGACATTAGTGTGACTGTGAATGAACTGTGTGATCTCCCACAGCCATGTTCATATTATGCCACACATGAATGGAGAAAAATGTTTCTCTGGTAGGATCAGATATATTTTATTCCAGACTGTGGCAAAATGAGTCATGGTTAATAAGACTTGTGTAAAGGTATTGATAGGTTGGAAGTATTTTAAATATGTTCTTATCTGTAAAATACTTAAAAAGGCATGTATATCATAACTGATTAATAATAAAACACAAATATTATTGGTACAGTGTGAAATTCAGTTTAACTGAAGCTGTTTCAGTTGTGTACAAAAAATATTGTTAATAAGGAAATAGCACAAATTTTATGTCTTTAATTATTATAAAGGATTGTAATAGATGCTCTTGTTTAGAGTATATAATGAACTCCATACTGTCATGTGAAAGTTCATGCATGGTGCACTATCATATGATTCTGATGGTTCAGAAAGATTGAATATCAGATGTAAAATAACATTTGATAAAGATGTGCAAGTTATTAAGCTGTTGTGCTTGCATTAATACTTCAATACCAGCGCCCAATCCGTACTTGACTAGGGCCTTTCCTTAATTTTGTTACAACACCTAAAGCTTGAAACAGTGTGCAGGGGCTAATACGTTTTTAAGATATTAAAGCAATTTACAGTTGGTATCATTATTGACCTATTTTTATAAAACACTGTTTTCAATATGAACTATGCAAAAACGTGTGCAGACATTTCTACTTAAAGAAGACTACTGTGGAGATCTGGAATGGACCATTCGGCAGAGAAGCTCATGTTAATGTGAAAATTAAAATAAGATATCTTGAAACTGCATTAATATTGTGTCTGTGTGCATTTCCAATGTGATATAGTCATATTCGTATGTTCTAAGTGTTGCATTTATTTTCATAAAGTGATCAAGATGTTGGGGAAGATTGAATCACTCTGTGTAATATATTCAACTAATAATCCTCGCTTCTGAAAACAGGTTATGCATGTCAGAAACATATTAATGTAACAAACGTTGTTCCTATGTCAACACAGAACAAGATAATATTTGAAGCTATGTCATATAGAGGAACCACCTTGGACCAACGAATGTCTGTCAGGTCGTCTATGCCGTAAGAATATTCCAGCGTGGTATAAACACTGTGACATCATTCAGCCTTGTTTAAGTGTCTGTCTGTTGGTAATGACCAGAACAGTGATGGATATTTAAATACAGAGTGTTGCTGTCCATCAACAATGAATATGATTTGCAGCATTTACCATGTGGACTGAGGCGTAATGTTCGTGTGTGCATGTTGGTGAATGTATTTAATCACATGGACAATCTGCAAGGGTAACAATGTCATGTCTTTCTAATTTTGGATTATAGGACTTGGTAATCAAATCAGATATTTTTGTAGGTTAAAAATGTGGTTTAATGTTACCGGTATTCATGAACCAATGAATATCTGTCAGATCATCTATGCCATAAGAGTATTCCAGTGTGGTATAAACACTGTGACATTGTTCAGCCTTGTTTAAGTGTCTGTCTGTTGGTAATGACCAGGACCGTGCAATATGCAGGAAAGTGATGAATATTTAAATATGAAGTGTTCGTATCCATCAGCGTTGAATATATGTGTGGCATTTACCAAAGTGGATTTATGCATAGTGGTGAACATGGTTAATCACACAGACAATCTGCAAGGAAAACAGTGTCATGTCTTTCTAATCCTGAATTAGTAGGACCTGGTAATCAAATCAGATATTTTTGTAGGATAAAAATGTGGGTTAATGTTACCGGTATTATTCATATAAATTAATTTTCCATATTTTTGAAGAACAAAATGGAATTAAATGACAAGTGATAATTCCATATAAGTTAAAGAATTCTGTAATTGTAAACCACTGGTAAAAGAATGTGTACACATGACACTAATAATGCGCAAGTATAATATATTAATCACAGAGTCATAATGGGGATTTCTCCAACAAACCTATACACTCTTTATGTTCGCATTTAATTTCCAGCTTAATATACACTGTTGTGTTGTAGAAGTAGGAAAACTAATCAACTGTCTATACTCTGAAGGGACTCATTTATTTAAGAATGTTTGTTATCAGTTGGATTGCTGTTGGGACCATTCAAAAGCAAATACTGTAGCCTCAAATTATTGATTGGAATATTGAAGATACACTGTTGTCTTTTTCCACCAATATCTGTAACATATACATCTCGATAATCCTCAAAATTGGACAGCAGTAATGAACCCAAGTAGTATATGGTTTCAGAATGTAAGGAACTTTTATATTTTTGATGGATGGATAGCATGTTTGATTTTAAACAAAGCAGTGTGTCTTTCTTTATGAGGAAAAACTGTTTGAGTGCATGTGTGCATCCAACTACATAGAAATTCTAAACAAATACTTGAGGTTTCTTTTATTTCATGTAACATTTAAGGTTTACTTTTATTTTGTGTCTTAACGTATCCTATCAACTTTCTTTTTATACCTGTGTATATCTACTTTCACTTGGAAAACTTAGAGAGAATTTTGACATCAGTGGCATGTTAGATAGATAGCTGTAAAATGAAGAAAAATGCATATAGCCTGCTGGTGACAGTGGAATGCAAGTAGTTCCATGAAAAATAGAAAATGGAGAATCCTGAAAAGTAATGTTTGTATAATTCACTTTTATGTTTGCCTGAACGTTTTGGGCAAAATATTATGTTTATTTAATATATTTGTAAGTCAGCAGTACTTAAAATTCAGATTCATACTTTTCCAGAAACATTTTATGTCAGAAGCTTGTGATTTTTATATAGAACTGTAAAAGTTTAAAATAAAGGCTCTGAATAAAACAAATTTCAGTATAATTCTCAAATCTGAATTATATCTTTTGAACACAAATTGTCCTACAGGTAAAATCTGCTCCTAATAATTTCAGTATTCCTGCTCTTATATGAGGAAAGAGTACTAATTTCACATCTTTCAATTTTCTCAAAGAGCACAAATTGTTGCACAACCATTTACTTTTTCAGTTTTTGTATTTGTTACAAACCATTAAAGAGCTTAAATGCACATGAACTTAAAAATTATACTCAGTTTCATTTTTATAGAACAGTACCATCATGTAGATTCTAAAGGGTTCTGATTTTCGTGTATGACACTCAGAATTACTGAGTTTCTGGATTTTTTCCATCATCCAGTATTCTAGAGAATAGAAAACGACTCCCTTGGGTCTCTTAGAAAGAGGTAACAATTGAGGTTAGATCTTTCTAAGTTACTGAACTGAGTATGTGTCTCCCCCATTCACCTGAGGGCTGAAACAGATGCAGTTTCTGAAATGTCATGATTTCTAGTCTCTAGAATACTGGCCAATGGAAAAGCAATTCTGAATACCATCATGATTCCATATATATTTTGACTGTTGTGTCAATAATTTTGTAAATGGATTAACCTACTACTACCAGCACTACTACCATTATCATCATTACTACTACTACTACGGTGTTAGGTTAATAAACAGACTTTTATGTTAATTATTACCGTGATTTTATATCAGATTATCTCACCACCTTAGACAAAGTGTTTTCACTGTAATTAAATAAATATTGTAGTTATATTTCCAAAGGTGAAATGTACCAGGTGATGTGTAGTAGTAGGTCTCTCAGTATATTCTTTAAAATATTTAACCTCTTATCATTAGAGCAGTCAGTAAACTGACTATCAAATTAAATACAACATTATAAATTTGTAAGAAACACTTCAGTTAATATATTAACAATCCCTTTAATTGGGAAAGTGGTTATAAATTAACAGCCTATTTTCATTTGAAAACCACAAGCAGCTGACCTAAAATAGTGGATTATTCCCTATTTCACTAATAATATTGTCATATGTGAATTGATGAAATAAGTGGTGCTGATGTGCTTATGAACTTGACATGTACACATGTAATAAACCAAGCAGGTTGGTGTGGTGGTAATGTTTGAAACCATGTTCAGGAGATACTAAGTTCAGATCTTGTCTGGAACACCAACTATCCTGACTAATGTTTGTTATGGGTTTCCTCAGTCATGGCATTTGTTTGACAGTACCTCAATTAGATAATGACTGCATCCTTCCATATCCTTTCAAATTCATCATTCTTCTGCCATCGTACAGTTTGATGCATAATCTAGCTTCTGACAGCATTGTAAAATAACCCACAAAAAGGAAACATCTGAAAAGCTCAGTAGTTGCATTGGTAGTACTATAGCAACACATGAGAACAGCCAATGCAAATCAAATTAAATTTAAAGAGTTGTTAAGATAAACAGTCCATTCCAAAATACTGTAATTTTGAATCTACTCATAACACACCAGGGCATAGTGATTAATAATGAGTCATAATTAATGGGTGAGTATACTTCTTTACTAGAGTTTAGGGAATTAATGTTGAAAGGTCTTACTCACACACTGCACAGGTACCAACTGAAGTTTGAACGAACTCAGTAATTTTGTAATGATGAAGTTCATGGGTCATAGAATGACTAGTACTGTACTCTGTAGTATTTTTACATCATATATTTTCCCATATTTGTAAAATATGAAAAAAAAATGCAGATTCATGTAAATATACTGATACAGTATTTAAAAATATGTGTTGTTACAATGTAACATCTTCAGTTATAGTTCATCTATGGTCATTTAATAAATGAAAATATGGAACATTTAAATTTGGTGTCTCAAGGGTGCATATGTTGCCATATTTTCTACGTGTGATAAAGGTTAAATATTTTTTGTTAAGAAAATGAAAGACATAGCTGTCAGCTTCCTTCTCTTTTATTTATGTATGTTAATTAGATTATTTTCGTTTATTGGAACAGGTATCTCACGTTATCACAAGCTAATATATATTTTAATAAATAAAACCTAAACATGCAGAGTCCTCGTTTGTCCACGTCTTCTTGAGGCTTGTAATTTCAGAGTTTAATGAGTAAAGTAACTGTGATCTTACATGTATTTTAGAATTATGGACTTATAAACTTTCTGATGGAAAATCACATATTTTAACAAGTATCAGTTGTTTTAAAAAGAATTGAATACACTTCCATTTAATGAGACATTGTTTTTGCTTAGATTAAATTTGTACAGAGACATTCATATATATATATGATAAATGATATGAACTCCGTCCCAAGTGCAAACAATATATTATATGTCCTTGATCTTGCTCTCCTTTACACTATATGTTTCGGCCTCAAACGGTCATCATCAGGTGTATACACTCACGTTGCTGTTACACTGCACTTAGTTTAAAATTTAACATTTAAAACACATTGTTCCTTTCATTGTTATTATCAACATCTACTTCGTTGATATCTGTCTGGTTTATTGATTATTTTTGTTACACACGTTAATTATGATTTTCCTGAATTAGCACTATATAATCTTTCGTTCTAATTTTAAAATCCTTTAAAATTTTTCTCTAAATTTTAAAATTTAAAATTTAAAATTGTCAGGGTTACTTGCCCTGTGTCTGTAGTGCTGCAGTGGCTAGTTCTTGTTTGCAGCACTGTACAGGTGTTATTCTGTGTAGTCTCCCTGTGTGCGTGCCGCTGCTATTCTTTACTACGTGTGCTGTCTGATGTAAACAATTTATACTATAAATTGCGATTAGTAATCGCGTTTAGTGCAGAGTCTGAATGTGGCCGCGTGTATTCGGCAGAAAAAAGACCCAATGCTTGCAGATACCCTGGAACTAGGCATACCGAGGCGGTGTTAGCGCGTCGATCATCACGGTGAAATTGATGGCAGACACATAAGCATTGAGGTTTATATAGGTGGTGACCGTTTCCAACGGGCCCCGGAGGCACGGTCATCCGTCGTCTTTTTTTTTTATAGTGGTATCCCCAGTAGGCCTAATCCACTCTTTTGGGTGTTACTTGAATGTGGGAACAGCGTTGTATTGGAGAGATGTTTCTCCCTTTGTGGTTGTGATGGGTTTTGCTTTTGGATAGGGGATGATTCTTTTGGTGTAACTGGATTCTTCAGAAGCCGAGGGATAAGTGTGGAGTGTGTATGGTATGCGGATATCCCATCTGGTCCTATAGAGGAATTTCATTGTTCCGGATTCTGAAATGATGTGGGGGAATCGAGACTTATTAGCGGGAGAGAATGGGGTGCATATTGGATGTCAGTGGAAGTGAAGTTGGTATTTTGTATACTGTTATGGGCTCGTCATATTGTTGGAGGGAGTTGGTGTGCTGTCTGATGGGAAACATATGGTCTGCGAATTCTCCCATATGGTCGGATAAGATGATTTCCCAAACTTGATGTTGTGGGAGCTCTTCGGGTGTGAAGGTGAAGTGTTTGGTATGTCCTGTTGGGAGTTCTTTGATGTGGCAGTAGTTTGTTCCCGCTTGTTGGTCGTCACCAAGAGAAAGGTGTCCCGGAGGTTTGCATTCTTGAGGCCATCGAACAGTTGGTGTGTGGGTTTTGTTGACGTCTGTCAGTATCATGAGGTTCTGAGATGTTTCGAAGTCGATCGTCTCATATGTTGTGGAACCTTGTGTGAGGAGATGTCTTCTTCTTGTTGCTTGATTGTAGATATCGAGATGGAAAGTGTGCCAAGTGATGCTGTATGACGTTTGCATCATGCGGTTAAAATTGAAGAGGGAGTTGTTTTCTGACGGGTTGGATCCTAGCCAAAAGGCAAGTAGTTGGTATGGTATAACATAGGAGTGGCGGGCTGCGTTAGAGAAGTCTCTGTTGCACCACAGTGATCGGACTATCTCGCAGTGAATGTGAGATGTTGTGAATGGGATGGGTACAGATGATATTTCTTGGTGAATGTGTTTTCCATATCCATCTTGGAGAATGTCTGCTCTTGTTTGGCCTATAGCAGTGGGTCTGGAGTCTCGAGCTTTTTTTTGGGTGGGTCATCCATGTATTGGTTGGTCATCATATAGAACTGTGGTTCCGGGAACCTGAACAAGCTTGGTGATATTCTGCGAAAGAAGGAATTTGATTTGAGTCTTGCAATTCTTGGAGTGTGTCCTCCGATACCATTTTCATGGTGGGAGCAATGGGATATTCCTTTATGATATCTGTGAGGGAGTGGAGTATGTATGTATGTAACGTCTTGGAGGTAGAGTTATTGTTTTGTTCTGTGGAGTTGTGAATTTCGGCCACTGCATCTGGTATGTTGTATGATTCGTCCAAAGAAGGCGATCCATCATCGGTACTTACCCAAGGAGGGAAGTAATCTTGAAATGTATCCTCTCTTCCGTAAAGATCACCTTGTAGTGATCGTTCAGTGTTGTGATTTTCGCAGAGTTCCTGGCGTGGGCACTGTGCGGAATGTAGCCAGCAAATGTAGCACATGCAGAGTGTGCGGTAATGCTTGCAAAGAGTATGCATAACTGTGGTGGTGATGTTGTTGGAAGGGATATATATAGTGTGTATGGGATGCAATGTATCAGAAGTGGGGTTCATACAGGTCTGCCATCGTGGACTTCACATCATATCAGCAATTGAAGAGCACATAAATCTCCCACGTGCAATTGAAGCGGGCGTCAACATTCTTGCACGTGTTCAATGAGTGCGGTCACATTCACACTCCATGCTAAACGCGATTACTAATCGCAATTTATAGTATAAATTGTTTACATCAGACAGCACACGTAATAAAGAATAGCAGCGGCATGCACACAGGAAGAAAACACACAATAACACCTGTACAGTGCTGGAAACAAGAACTAGCTGCTGCAGCACTATAGACATAGGGTGAGTAACCCTGACAATTTTAAATTTTAAATTTTAAAATTTAGAGAAAAATTTTAAAGGATTTTAAAATTAGAATGAAAGATTATATAGTG